TGTGTACTCTTGGCAAAACTCTATTAGCCTTTGCCCTGCTTCATTCTGTACACCAAGGCCAAATTTCCCTGTTACTCCAGGTATTTCTTGGCTTCCTACTTCTGCATTCCAGTCCCCTATAATGAAAAGGACATCTTTTTTGGGTGTTAGTTCTAGAAAGTCTTGTAGGTCTTCATAGAACTTTCAACTTCAGCTTTTTCAGCATTACTAGTCAGGGCATAGACTTGGATGACCGTGATATTGAGTGGTTTGCCTTGGAGATGAACAGAGATCATTCTGTCGTTTTTGAGATTGCATCCAAGTACTGCTTTTCAGATTCTTCTGTTGACTATTGAGGGCTACTCCATTTCTTCTAAGGGATTCTTGCCCACAGTAGTAGATATAATGGTCATCTGAGTTAAATCACCCATTTCAGTCCATTTTAGTTCACTGATTCCTAAAATGTCGATGTTCACTCTTGCAATCTTCTATTTGACCACTTCCAATTTGCCTTGAATCATGAACCTAATATTCCAGGCTATAGATGTATACAAATACATATGAGATATATGTTTAATTTGGACCATATTATAATATTATTTTATATGTATTTTATTTATATTAACATTACCTTGTATCAATAATATTTTTGGAAACTGTATTTAAAAATTTTATTGCTCTCTAGTATTCCATCATAGCAAAGATTTACCTTGACTAATTTAAATGATACCCATAAATAAATATGTTATATCTAAGTTTTCAATGTTATGTTTTATATGATGATGAACACTGTGTTTCTGTTTGAGCTCATTTTGGACTAATTCCTTAGCCTAATTGTCAGTAAAAGAACTATTTGGTCAAAGGTTTTATTTTGATGATTCAATATTATATGTTTTACTTAAATATTTATATTTAGATAATTTTACAATTGAGGATATTTGGTAAAACTAAATTTAAGAGAAAAACTCAATTAGGATATACCTTGTGAAAATAAATGAGTTTATGCAAGCAATTTTTAAAGGCTACTTTAGAGTATTGGTGTTTCTATCAATAAGTTTATCTTGACAACACCAGCACTACCTGCACACACACACACAGAAAAAAGGATGACCAGCAATAGACACTTCTAGTATCACTGCCTTTCATAAATGTGTATCCAAGACTGAATGCTGTCTCCCTAATGTTCCTTTTTGATACTAGCATTGAATCAGACATTTTCTCTCTTGCCTATGAAAGGAATTCTGAGAGTATTTATGCATATGCACAAAGAGTGGGGAGGCTTCTTTGGGAAGAAGATTTGAATGCGTTCATGAGTCTTTGATTCCATTGACCTAACTGAGAATGCTGCCTTATCAGTTCAGTTCAGTTCAGTTCAGTAGCTCAGCCGTGCCCGACTCTTTGCGACCAAATGAATCATAGCATGCCAGGCCTCCCTGTCCATCACAAACTACCAGAGTTTACTCAAACTCATGCCCATCAAGTCAGTGATGCCATCCAGCCATCTCATCCTCTGTCGTCCCCTTCTCCTCCTGCCCTCAATCCCTCCCAGCATCAGGGTCTTTTCCAATGAGTCAACTCTTCGCATGGGGTGGCCAAAGTGCTGGAGTTTCAGCTTCAGCATCAGTCCTTCCAATGAACACCCAGGACTGATCTCCTTTTGGATGGACTGGTTGGATCTCCTTGCAGTCCAAGGGACTCTCAAGAGTCTTCTCCAACACCACAGTTCAAAAGCATCAATTCTTTAGCACTCAGCTTTCTTTTACAGTCCAACTCTCACATCCATACATGACCACTGGAAAAACCATACCCTTGACCAGATGGACCTTTGTTGACAAAGTAATGTCTTTGCTTTTTTTTTGTCTTTGCTTTTTAATATGCTGTCTAGGTT